CCCATAAAAATAATAAAAGGTCATCTGAAAGAAAATCATTCATGCATGTTTGTGGACAATTTAGTACTGTAGATCTCCAGGCATTGGAAGGCGCGTAAGCTGCGAGCTCTGCAAGGTCCTTGAGGTCCTTTACACTGACCAAGCTGTCGCTTTGTGCCTTAAGTAAGTCCTTGGCGTAATGCAACGAACTCATTTCCATTCCTTTCAGCTGCTTTGAGAGCACATTTTAGATAATCCACGATCCAGAAATCGCGTTTAGCCAAACTACCAATTGTCGGCTCAAATTTCAGCCCAATGCGGGGAGTGCATCGAGTGAAAACATACAGCATTCCACGCTCAATTTAATTATGGAACGCACAATGCCATGCAACAGCAATGAGTCGTGACACATGCACCAAATATTTGAGTCTGCCGACAAGGTCGGCCATAAATTCAGCCATTGATGATAACGGGGCGTATACGCAATGTTGTCGTGCAAATTGTTTTCGCGTTCGTTTCATGCTGGCCGCCTAAGCAATGTCTGGTCACAGCAAAAGCGAAGGCGAAAGACAGAGCTACAGAGAGAAAGAAAGAGGGAGACAAGCACACACACCCACACTGTGCATGTGTGGGTATGCATTTACGAGCACAAAGTAGCAGCAGCGGCAGCATTGTTTCGATTGTACTGATAAACCCTCCAACGATGTCTTTTTCTCTGCCGTCATCAATGCGCCCTCTCTATCTTCACCGCAGCCGCCGGGCACGGAGCACGTTGTTGACCTATATTTGGCCATCAATGAAATGCGAACAGCGGAGCGAGCAGGCTGCTTTGGCTGAGTAAAAGCTCTGCGAGTAGCCGCCTGCTTGTTACTTAACTGGAAAGCTCAGCGGCAACAGCAGCACTCACAGAAAAAGAGCTTTTCAAACTGGAAGCGAGTAGCTGGCACATTTCACTGCAGACAGAGCAAGTGAGTGCAGCACATGTGCCAGCATATGAATGATAAAAACGATTCAATGTAATGAAGAATATATCAATTTATTTAATTTAACTAATCAAGCTGTTTTATCTTTCTTAACCTATTGATGCACGCAGGCAGAAACAGCTCTGTGAGGTAGCAATGGAGCAATGAGCTAAAGTTCACTTAGGTCATATGTAAAAGCTCCAATTGTTGTTATTCTTGTGCATTCTGGAAATGGCATAGCAAACAGCTGGAGCATTCGAGAGAGCTTGCGAGAGCTTTCGCGCGAGACGGAATGGAAGTGGAACGCAGAATAGATGCGTTAGGCGAAGGCGACTACACTTGGGGAAAGGGTGTCAATGGAAATATAAACTTTATAGATACGAAACGAAAACACACACGCACGAGGAGGAGCACGACGAGCGAACATCAAATGTCGGGGAACTCGAGGCAACTCGGCGAGGCGAGGCGAACTTTCCATCAGACTCGAGGAACGCCAACCTTTCAATTTAGTTCGAGTCACGCAGCGGAGTGGACGCTTCACTCTTTTCTCTCTTAAGCGGTAGGCAAACGCGCGCTGAACTCAAAACCCAACGTGTTCCAATCCACACAAATAGCTGGCCAAAGGATATCAAATTTTGTTAAACCTAAAACTGTGCATAGTTTGTGTTTATTATGTTGTGCGGAGCAGTATCTTCCCCTCTCGCTGTCCCTCTCTCACACTGTCCCCCTCCTTTCTGCAGTTTCTTAACATATATACATACAGACATTTAAAAATGCAATAAATTATTTAAAGCATTTATTCCGTTTCGCTTTCGCTGCCTTGGTTGCTATTGGTGGTGTTGTTGTTGCTGGCATTGTTGTGGCTGTTGCTGTTGTTTTCGCTGCGCTCGCACTTGGCCCATTGGCCCAGTCCCCAGCCCCAGTTCCCGGTCGCATTGCCGAGAACTGAGAATTGTTTGCCCATTTGCCTCCAGTCAAAGGCAAAACAACAACAAACTCAGCCCCAACTCTCGTCAAGCGAATGCCGAACCGAGCACCGAGCATCGAGCACCGAGCGACGAACACACTCACCAACGAACACCAAACACCGAACACTGAACTTTGCGCCGTGCTCTGAATCCGCGAGTAAAGACCACAGCGAGGCGCCATTCATCAGTCGCGCGAGAGCAACTGACCGTCTCTGTTGTACATTTATCCAGAACAGGTTCTTTTTTGGCATTTGCTGGAATTGAAACATTCGCGGCACGTCAATTGCAACAGCAACTGCAACTCCGACTGCAACGGCCACGGCAGCCCTCAGCCTAGAGCCAGTCCAATTAAACAAACGAGAGCATCGAGACGAGCCCCAATAAAAGTGTGACAAAGTGAAAGCCGCTCGCTGGCTGCAACTGTAAATACTCCTGCCTGGTTACAGGTGAGTCCCCCCACTTGGTTCGATTGTAATT